TCCCATGCTAATTCTGCAAATTTGGCTCCAAACTTTTAGAACTGTGTAGTATATATATATATATATATATATATATATATATATATATATATATATAGATAGATAGATAGATTGTAATAAAAGAGATTGCATTGTATTTTTGGCTCAATAAAATTTTACTTAGGAAAATACTACGAAATATTTTTTTTCATTCTTTATTCCGAATCAACATTTTAAACAAAAGATTGCTTCGTTCTGTAGAGAAGATTTTAAAAACAAAATAAAATTTGACACAAAAAGAAATTAAAAATTTGTTTAAAGAATTAGTCTACACACACACACACACACACACACATATATATATATATATATATATATCCTCTAGCAATCATGAAAATATAATTATTCTATAACCTTGTAGATAGTCGAGGTTCTATGCTGGGTCGTTTATTGCATTTCTCAGAACAAACTGGCATACCCAGTCTCCGATCATATAATATAGAAACCAAGGTTGTTTTAGTTTTTAACTACCAATAGAAGGCAGTGGAATCCCAGTAATATTAAAAAAAACAGAAAAAAATAAATAAAAAATCAACAAAAATCTTCGCTACAAGAGAGACTCAATGATTAATTTATATGCAAACCTGCATTGTTTCTATCTATCTGAATACCGATCTATTTTCATGCCTCTTATTAGAAAGAGAAAAAAATATAATGTTGGATATAGTGTTTAGTATTTGCCAATATTTAGGCTAAAATACTTTATTCATAATTATGTTAGACACACACACACACACACACACACACACACACACACACACACACACACACATATATGGAATTAATGAATTTATTTTTAACCCGACATTTTTATTGTTTCAAACGATATTTTTTAGTAGATACCCGTGTTTGAAATAGAAGCCGTGTTTTTATTTAAAAAAACAACTTATTAAAGAAAATATGCACTTCCGTAGGATTCAAATCTGCATCCTCTTCTCTGTTAGGAGAAACCACACACAGATATATATATGTGTGTGTGTATATACACATATACACACACACACACACATATATATGTATGTGTGTGTGTGTGTGTGTGTGTGTCTGTGTATGAGCGTTCGCTTTCTGACCTTGAGACCAGGATTCGAATCTCAGCATGGTCGATTTTTCAGGAAGGTTCCCTTGATGGTACCGACCTGTGGAAGTGATCCCAGCGCGTCAAAGTGCTGAAAACCATACCATGGGTTGACCCAAGCCTTATGAGTGAAATTTGTTAAAAGGAACTATTTGGGATCCGTTGATGGTTGTGCCAGCACGAAGCCCTCACCAGAAACTGTAACTAAGGTCTACACAGCATAGTTGCAGTACAAAACACAGGTGAGCTCTGTGGGTGTTGAACAAGCACTGGTGTGTTTGAGAAGGCGTATGCAAAATAGATTGCCCTCGTAGACATATAAGCAGCCAAATATATATATATATATATATATAAATAAAAAGACACGGGTTGAGTAGCGGTTCGGGTTGAGTAATCGGAGACCAGAGTTCGAATTCCAGTCGAATCCTTTACATTCATTTACGTGTTAGTAACCTTGTGAAATTTATTAATCCTTTTCTTCTACTTCCAGCTATGGGTAAATAACAGGGCAGGCTGGGTTCTTAAGCCTTGGATGGCAGGAAAATAGGACAACAACTCCGAATTCAAAAAATGCGGGGGTTGTTTGGGGACACTGTGGGACTTATTGCACCAGGTCTCTGTATTCGGCCCTTCAAAAAGTGTGGTTGATTCTTCTCAAAGCCTTCATCACTATAATCAAATCATATGTACTGGTATCTGGAACTGAGCTGCTTGACGCTCATACGTCGAGGTATTGTATCTATTTACACTATTTATATTGTTCGGGCTTTTTTTTCCTCATCCTTATTGGCATATACACGAAATTTCGACCGTTATACACTCCGACCTTCTTGAGATGATATACGTTCGAATTTTGAAACGAACTCTTTAGTGCGAAGAGAATGGGAGTTTATTTTTTTGACTAATTTCATAGGTAAACTTAATCAAAAATAAACTCCTATTCTTAGATGTTCTCATAGAATATAACAACACTTATACCCCCTCATTATAAAAAAAAAACACCCACAAGCAGAAACCCTTGCCAACTTAATTTTATGATACAAAAAAGTTCCCCTAAAAGAGCACACCAGAATTTATCCTCTTGATTACTCTTCCTTAAATACCTCATTAATACAAAACAGACACTAGATAACAATGACTTCCCTAACCACCTTATAGACCACTAAATTAGACTATTTTTCCCAAAGTAAATAACAATGGTAGTGAACACAGTAAAAAATAACAAATATTTTCTACAAAAACCAAATGCAACTACAAACAAAATGAATCTTCACTTAGAAATATAAAGACATACACTACCTCAATTGACCCGAACAAAAAAATCAAATTAATTATCTACTACAAAAAATTTAAAACAGCTAACCTTATCATAAAAAATAACACACC